AGACCTCTGGTGGAAACTACGAATGGCAGGAAAACATGTCATCACAGCGAGCAGCTATGCTGGATTACGCAGCAACAGAGTTTCTCAAAACCTTTAACAACACGTCAGTCACGTCAAACTGAACAGCCTCATGGGTTCATTTTTAGCAGCTACACAAGTAAAAAAAATCACTAAAATTAAGTTGCGCGTCATATTTTATCAATAAATACCCACTTCAGTGACAAAGTGTGCAGAAAACAAAACTGTACATGTAAAACATAAAAGCTTATTTTGGTGTTCAAGCAGTTTCCAGGATTACCACTTTTATGGTGACTTTGTATCATAGATTTTATATTATATTCAGCTTTTTCAGATACCACAAAGAAACATTATTCAAATTTTGGGGACGGACACCGGATTTTTTGGGGGCTTCTTGAAAGTTAAACGTCAGATTTAAGGACTGAGCATTACAACTTCCTACACTGCAGTCCGAAACTCCCTTCATTTTTGTCACCAATCGCTTCCCAGTTGCACAAACTTTTTGTGTTACAGAATCAGTTTTTGCAGCTTCTTGTCAACAAACGGCGAAATTTTGGTGATTTAACAAAAGAAAACTTGGCCGTTGCTGCTCGGAGGGGTAAATGAAAAAACCCGCATCCGCTCTGAAGATCAGAGGCCAAGTACCCCGCAAGTAAAGCCATCAACTCACCCGTCCACAAGTTCAGGGTCGCCGATCGGCGTCGCGTCGTCGAGGGATCAACTGAACCGTCCATTTCACCTGCGTCCAAAAAAATAAATAAAAAGGTTTCACAGTGATTTTAGTTAAACTTTAAACAAAAACTCTACAAAATTAGTCTCTCCTCATATTGTCAAAGTCTTACACTATGTTCTGAGGGTTTTTACCGGGAAGTTTGTTCACAACTGGATTTACAGCATTTTATTGCTAAAAAAAAATTGTGCACAAAAGTTTTTTTTTTTCCTGTGTCACCATCGTTTACGCTATTTTTCTGAGAATAAACGGAGACATTCACGTTCCCCCTCTAGCTCAGATATCTGTTCAGGAGATTTAGGTGTATTTCCTGCAGTGTAAATTTATAATACCTCATTTTAATATGCAGCCATTAATAAAAATACTTTTTTTTTTTTTAAAGGCACACTGTCATTTGTCTGGATTTAATTATCCCACTGAGGAAGCTTTACCTGTAACATTTGCATTTAAAGAGCACTATTGTGTACAGCATGAATACTGAACAGAACGTGTTTTTAAGTCTATTCTGGCTGGAAGACTTGGCTTTACTTTGAATTTCCTCCTGATAAGAGCTCCAACACGTGCTCAGCTGCTGGAAGCCGCTCACTCTGAAAACCAACCGCAGTTTTAAATAAAGTTTTCCCACATTTGAATAGAGCTCAGCACAACAGCGCAGCTCTGCTCACCGCACTTTTAAATAAAGTTTTTCCTACATTTGAATAAAGCTCGCTAGTAATATATATATATATATTTAGCAACTTCAGCTAACATTTTAGAACAACTGAAAGCCGCTAAAGGTTCGATAATTCCACTACACAGCTGCGGATCTTACTTTAAAAAAAAAAAAAGCGAAGACAGGACGCTAAACACATTTCTTAAATGCCGGCGGCGACACGATCTACGGCCATCCGTGGAATCAAACGGCTCCATCCGGGAAACATCGCCCCAGAGCAGCTCGGCACACCGCAGCTAATCAGGCTAACGTTAAATTCGTGAGCTAAAGCGAATATTTAAGGTCGTATTTACCGGAGAAGCTGCTGCGCCGCTCCTCTCCTCCAGCGCGTCCGTGTACGAGACCGGAGCAGGCCGCGGCCGCTGCTTTTATAGCCGCTGCGGCGCCGGACGGCTTCTCACCGCCTCCTGCCGGCCCGGGGGACGAACTGCAAGCGGAAGTATTTGCACCAATGGTGGGACGCGATTTAAAAAAAAAAAAAAGAAAGAAAAAAAAAGAAGAATCGAATTAATTAAAGGCTAATATTTTACACAACAAGCAATTCAGTTCAAATAAGTTTTGGTTGAGTTGATGAATATTCAGTTCCGTTTATTTATATTAGATTAGATTCAACTTTATCATCGTTACACATGTACAGGTACAGGGCAACGAAACGCAGTTAGCATCGAACCATCCATCCATCATCTCTACACCTTCATCCTCACCAGGGTCATGGGGGGCTGGAGTCTATCCCAGCTGACTCAGGGTGAAGGCAGGTTCACCTGGACAGGTAACCAGTCTATCACAGGGCTACACTTAGAGACAGACAACCAAGCACACTCACATTCACACCTACGGACAATTTACAATCACCAATTAACCTCAGCATGTTTCTGGACTGTGAGAGGAAGCCGGAGAACCCGGAGAGAACCCACGCTGCACGGGGAGAACATGGAGACTTCATGCAGAAAATAAAAATTATTACTCCTCATAAATTATACTCTACCCCTGAAGTTAGATGATCGTTTTTAAATTTTAATATAAACAATAATGTGTATTTTACATGTTTATATTTCAGATATATAATCACACATGGTGGATAATGAGGACTGAATAAGCCGAAAACATAAACAATAATAGAAATCTCATTTATAAAGATCAGGTTGACGAGTGCCGCAAAGCTAATTCATTTTAATGTCCATGTCATTTTGTATTTTAATAAGAACAACATGTAGAACTGTTTGGTGTTGGAGGTACAGAGAGGCGAAGGGAGAGAGACACTGAGATACACAGAGAGAGAGACACTATGACTGACGGATGGACGAACCAATCAGCTGCTGCCTTTCTTTTGTGTCTCGCTCCTGATTGGAGGATGCGGCAGCAGCGCCCTGATGGACGCCCCTCCTCCTCCTCCTCCTCCTCCTCAGAGTGATGCTGCTGCTGCTGCTGCAAGCTGCTGGTGTTGCCGTGACGATGATATCCTCCCCCTCCCTCCCACACACACACACACACACACACACACACACCGAGGAGAGGCAGCAAACAAGACGCTATCATGACGCGATGGCTTCAGGCTGGAAAACAGACGCTGGCAGTGATATCCTCGGGGAAGCGTGGTGAGTGCTGGCTCTGTGTTTCGTTTGGGATGAGAGGATGAAGGGATGGACGGATGAGCAGATGGATGGATGGATGGATGGAGGAATGTTTGAGGATGACAGTAGCAGCTGTAGCATGCTGTGTTTTCCTGACAGGGAGGGAGGGAGGGGAAGAGCAGAGGGATTGAGGATGGACAGATTGCAGCATGAGCGAAGGTGGAGGATGAATGAATGCAAACTGGTCAAACCAGAGAAAACGCAAGTCTGTGTGTGTGTGTGTGTGTGTGTGTGTGTGTGTGCGTGTGTGTAGGTGTGTGTCAGGCCTGTATGTACACGTTAGCATCCTGAGCGCTAACAGTACCAGAAGGTACGTCACTTCTGTGAGCAGAGAACTGGGCTGATCCACTCTGATTTCTATCAGCGGCTGATACAGCCACAACATTAAAACTGGTGGAAGTGAGCAACGTCGGTCTCTCTCGTCACGGTGGGAGGACTCTAAGATAACTGTGACCGGGTCAGAGGGTCCAACGCCTAACTGAACCAATGGGAGAAGGTGGTCCGGTCCGATGAATTGCCTTCTCTTTGCATCTCGTGGACGTCCAGGTGTGCGGTTTACCTTGGGAAGAGATGGTGGAGGCAGCGGTCGAGGCTGATCGGTCCGAGTGGTCCGACGGGCTTTTGGTATGAAGCAACGCTCAGAAGGTTCTTCCTGGAAAGACGATGAAGTGACTTGAAAAAAGGTGGGAAAAGATCAAAGACACAACACGAGACGACAAAAAATGACTTTAAGTGACACAGAACAACTGCAAAGAGACGCAAAACGCCTATAAAGACGTGCAAAACGACGACAAAGAAACACAAAACAGCCACAGCAACCCGCAAAATGATTATAGGGACACAACAGGGCTACAAAGAGATGCAAAAACAACTATAAAGGGAAGCTAAGCAGCTCCAAAGTATGCAAATTACAACAAAACACAACACCAGAGAGACACAAAACGACCACGAAGAGACGCAAAACAACCACAGAGATGAAAAACAACAATGACACAAAACATCAACAACACAAAGAAGCAAAACTGATTATAGACGCAACATGGCCCCAAAGAGACGCACAACAGCTACAACAACCACGAGGAGCAACTACGAAGACGCATACGATAACTAGAGACAGAAAATAGCAACAAAGACATGCAAAATACTTATAAACTGACATGAAACAGCTGCACAGTCAGACTGAAATAACCATGAAGAGACACAAAACACTTACGAATAGACATAAAGCAACTACAAAGACACCAATCAACTCCAAAACGACGATAACGAGAAACAAAGCTACAAACAGAACGTCACCAAAGACAAAGAGACACAAACAACGACACGCAATCCAAACATCCACCAAGAAACAGACACCAGGAGACGCGGAGACGACGAAGAGGTGCAAACCGCCAACAGGTACGAGGAGATCACGGAAAGTGTTTGTTAAATCCACAGAAGAACAAAAGAAATGATGGCGCCAAGAGAAAAACACAGAAAGCGACCAAGAGCCTTCCCGTGGGAACGTGTGAAGGCAAAGCTCAGGCTACCGGTGTGTCAGCTGTAGTTTCAGTGACGTCACGCTGTGAGTTTACTCACCGGCTCTTCGGAAACTGCTTCCACCATTTCAACCTGCAGCTGAAAAGGTTTTTACTGAAATAAATCTCACGGGGATGTACCGGAGTCTGGTCCGTCGAAGACCCAAGTAGGTTTTAAATTAGCCGTGTCCAGATTAGTGGCGTTTATTCACTCCTTGAACCACACACAGTTATTTTAATAATTGATTTATCGCCGACTAAAAGTGACCTTAATGGACGCTGCTTTCTTTGAGTGAGAGTAAGTTGAACATTCAGAGTTTTTGAACCGGCGTCGGGAGAACGCGAGACACCCGTCATGTGATCTGCTCACGGTTTTCTCCAGCTAACTGATTAAATACTGAACACGTTAATAATTGATGACAATAAAGTTTAGCTACAGCTGCAACATTAAAATGCTACTCGCACACCAATGCATCAGTAATACGTTTGTGTTTAAGCGTTAAGCAGTTGTTCTCATGTAAAACTGAAAAAGGTGTTCTCTGCTGGGTTCAAGTCAGGCCACATGCTTCTGTGGAAACCGTTGTGTGACTTTGTTCTCTGGATGGTTCTCCTGCTGGAACATTCGTCCTCTCCAATCTCTCTGTCGGCCAGCATTCTGCTTTATCCTCAGACATTCATGGAGCAGCCCCACATCATGATGCTGCCACCGCCGTGCTTCACTGTGGTGGTCCTGGTCAGGTCCACACCAAACATCTGGACTCCATGTGAGCCCAACACATTGATCTCCATGTGAGTAGAGGATGTTCTCCAGCATCCATCAGGCTTCTGTTCATGTTCTCTGGTGAACTTTGATGTGGAAGTTTAGCTGTGAGCAGCAGCCAGGTTTAGTTCTGCTCCTC